TGGCTCTCAGAAGAAATGTCCTGCAATGCTCAGCATTCTCCCCGTGGTATGGTTGGCTCAGTAACGCGGGGAACTGTGCACTTTTTTTCGTCTAAACCTGTACAGGATTGTGTCATTAGTTCAGCAAAGGAAAAGTGTTCCCTTCCACAAGGGTTTTTCTTTCTTCGCCTTTCTCTGCATTCAGAGAAAGCACTGTGGTTTAGCAGAACTGCAAAAATACAAGAGCTTCTCACAGTGAAATGTCTTAGAACTGAGCCTCCCAGGACTTGCACAAAAGGTTGCAGAACAAGGTTGCAGAAAAAATGCAGAAAAGGTTGCAGAACAAGGAAGAGGTCCTGAGGATGCTGACTTCATGTAAAGAAACCATAATCTGTCATGAATGAGGAATCACATATGCATAATAAAACCTTCAGGCAGAGAAGCCCAAAAGCAAAGTTGCACCAAAGTGGCACATTGTTTTCCATGCAATTGGAAACATATAGATTACTTGTCTGAGTCCTTTGCCTTCCTACCTGCCCCCAACTTTAGACTACCCCTCCCCAAACTGTTGATGTTTGGTCGGATCATTCATTTAGAGCCTATTTTCCATGTGCTGCAAAGGACAGAGGGATGTGTGGATAAAGGCTGAAGGCAGAGTCACACAGTGCATCATGGGCTTGTGTCTCCCTCTCCACTCCGGTGGTCATGCAGTAGCGTCGAGGGCAAAAAGTAAATGGAGTGTGTGTTCTCTTGCGCTCGCTGTGGGGGCTGTTCACAGGTGCATACGAGGATACCTGTTGGAGCGCCTCTTCAAGCCATGATCTACTCAGAAACCATGCTCGGCACTGGGACCTTCCTCCGAGTCTCAATAAGGGGAGGGCTTTTTCAGCAGTGACACCCCATCTTTGGCGTAAGTCCCTACTGCAACCCGCCTGGCATCAAATTTGCCATCTTTTTGGCATCAGGTGAAGACAGACATTTATGTTGAGGCCTTTAAACATCTACTTGGTTACCCATCTGCTTGGCCTGAGGGGGTTAGCCAGGTGATTCCTTTCCTTGTTTGGTCACTTGTTACTGTATGCTCAATTTTAGCTATTTTAAAGTCATTTTATTGCTCTTTTGTTTTTATGATATTTATACTGTATTATATTGCCTTATTTTATGCACTCTTGTAAACTGCCCAGAGAGATTCAGCTATGGGACAGAATAGAAATGAAAATAATAGTATTAGCAATCACAATAGCAATAGTGATAATATATTTATATCAGAAGAGATACAATTTGTACATAGAGGTAATCTGTATTAAATAATGGAAGATCCCAGATGATACTTTAAAGACCTCCAAGAATAACAATGGGTTCTTCCAAACACCTTCTAATGACCATTTACCCCTCTGACTTCTTCACCTCTCTGGTTCAGGCACTAATAGAGAGTGATTGCAGGTCTTCCCAGAACCCTCAGCAATGCTTTCCCATAATGTTTAGTTCTAGTTCCCTAGTCCAGCATGGATGATTTGCCTGAAGCCAAAGCGGACACATCCAGAACTGATTTGCACCTCAATTAGCCCTGTGCCCTCATGCCAAGATCCAGCTGGCCATGAGCCAGCAGTTAAGCTCTCACAATGCCCTGAAGCACCCGATGCTTCATCACTCTGGGAGAATTCTGGGCAATTAAAATAACGGCCTTCGCATTCCACTCAGTTCCCTGGAGGGACGCTGCAATATCAGATCTCCAAGTCCTCAGAGCTGCTATAAGTTCCAAATAAATATTTGTGTCCTGTATTTTACCTGTGCAGGTTTCTAGGATCCGTTAGATTGGATTCGGACAAAGTCAAGCTTCGCAGAGGTCCACTGAAATCAGTGGGGCTTCAGGTAGTCATACTGAAGCCCCATTGGTTTGGATGGGCCTGCTCTAAGTAAGACTAAGTTTGGATCCAACCTCTCTCTCTCTCTCTCTCTCTCTCTCTCTCTCTCTCTCTCTCTCTCTCTCTCACACACACACACACACACACACACACACACACACACACACACACGTGCGCACGCAAGCACCCAAAGGGCAAGAAACATGCAGGATGACTGACCTACAAGAGTATCCAGAATTGGTATGAGCCACAGATGTTCAGCTGGTAGTTAAATGATGTGACAAGAGTTCCCGCAAGGCCTTAGAGAACTGTAAAAATCAAAGCTTATAGCATTGACCTAGGTAATTATAGAAATATCTTCTAGTAGCATTTTCCTGTGGGGAAATAAGAATCATTATCATTTCTAAAGCACACCCACAGACACATGTTCTGTGACTTTCAGGCATGCACAAACATGAGCCACCTACTTGATAAGCAGCATAGTAGTTTACTTATCCATCCCAAAGGAAGACAGCAATTAAGGGTGCCATCCTACGCATCTTTAGACAGAAAGAAGTGCTACAACTCCCAAATTCCTGGAGTAGGCAGACATGTGATGCAAGGTGGGAAACTTCTCACAGCTGAGGGCCAAATTTAGTTTGATGGCAGTTCTCCAAGACCACATTACAAGAGTAAGTTTTCGAGAGTAAGCCAAAACTCATAGGCATGGGACTATACCTACCCGGATTTTTATTTGTTTATTTATTTGTTTGTTTTTGCATAAAGCTGTTACAGTGTGTTTAATTTACAAGGGGGTTAATCTACTGTATCCTCGTGCAGCTTTGTTAAAGAACTGAGATCTGAGATCAATACAGCGTTTCCTTTTCTGCTTCTCCAGTCATAACCTCGAAGTGTTGAATTGCTATTTGAGAATAATGCAATACACAAGTAGGAAAAAAACATTTTCTTCACTTTCCAAACAGTGTCCATTTTCCACACTCCTAAAAAAAAAACCTGAAAGTGCTCTTTCAAAACAGAAGGGAAACTGGGAAGTAACCTAAAGAATGATTTATCAGCATAAGTAAAAATGATTTATCAGCACAAGGAATGCCTTCTGTGGAAAACCGCTAAGACTTAGGAAAGGATTTCATCAATTAGAATAGGGAAAATATGTACATAATTCAAGAAAACATCAAATTATCAATGATTAAGTGTCAGGGTGTCAGGATTAATCACCAAATTATCAATGATTCAGTTTCAGGAGGGGGAGGCATCTGGGGAGGTCCAGATTGGGGCCCAAATCTGAGGATCCCCAACCCTGAAATAAAGGAAGAATTTTAGTTTGCTGGGATCTTCTGTTATTTGACTATCAATACATGATCTATAGGTGACTTCTAATTATTGATATGCTACAGGGATGTCACTATATTTATGTCACCTTTTATTTTGATGCAGGAGAGTGCAGTGTGTCAATGGAACCCAAAAGTGCTCAACTTTGGCTGGGTTGATGGCCCAATATATTTCATGCCAAAATCTTGGACAAGATCAATATGAACTTCTTACATGGTGTGACCCATTAAGTAGGCTTTTTCCTCTTTTCTGAAAAGTGCACTGCAGTTAAAAGAAGCAATTCTCCCTAATAATGCTTTAAAAATGAATTATAGCAATAATTCTGTATGTGGTTCATTTTTACTTCTAGGTCTTTGGAAGTCGTCATTTCATTATGGAACAGGGGAGCGCTTGATCAGAATTGTGTTGTGCAGTTTAATGAAACCTCATGCAGTGCGTTCTCCAGAGCTCAGGTTCTATGAGGAAATACATGCTGCCTCTAAACCTAATTGAAAGCAGAGATGATTATATACAATTGAATGCCTTTGCACGAGAAATTAGAAACATCCATTGCTGAACAGCTTCCTTTCCTTTTCTTTAATGGAAATAAATCTGATATTTATTTTTAACATTTAAAGGGTGGTGGTGGTGTTGTTGTTGTTTTTTTAGAAAACACCTGAACTGCCCAACCCTGTTTAAAATGCTAATCCTCATATTTACAAGCTAGCTAACAGGGGGCTGTTATCAAGCGCCAAGCAGCCAGAACTGACCCAACAGCCTGGGCTCGTAATAGCTGCTTTCCAACTTCCCTTTCATTCCTGCTGGAAGCATCCCAGGGGACATGGCCAGGAAGATGAGGCAGTGAGCCCCCACCACTCCATGACAGCACATTGCTGAGGCACATGGGAGGCAGCACAATCCAGGGACACCGAGTCCATTCCTCCTGCAGATCCAGTGCCTCCTGGTTCATGCCAAACAAGTCTGCAGTCAGGCACATGGGGACAATCAGCTGGTGTCACCTCCACTCCCACGTGAGTGAGGAAAGGGTGGGCTGGGCAAGGATGCACTAAGAAAGCAACGTCCCTGCGTGGCCTCGGTCCTCCCTTCCCTGCTCTAGAGGCTTCCTGGCTTTCTCAGGAGCAGAGAAGCCCATGCTTAGATCATTCCCACCTCCCAGCTCCTGCCAACTCCCAGAAGCCAGGAGCCAGCTGTCCTCTTGGTGAAATGGAGCAGTGCCACCCAGCTGATTGCTGGCTCCCCTGTCCTTCCCCAGAGTAGATTTTGGGTGCAGAAGAGACTCCTCTGACAGCTGGGCCAAACTGAGGCAGCTGCCAGCTGCATCTCTGGGTAAGCACCTGGCAAGAACGGCCACAGCTACTCTTGGCAAGCAGCTCGCTTCTTCTGGGGTTTCCCTGTGATGAGCTCAGTTTGGCAGCATCAGCACCTTCGTCTGCCTTGCCTTTCTCACTCAGACCAAGAGGATGGACGTGGGTTGTCTCATGTGCAGTTGCAGTGGGGCACAGCAGGGTAGCTGCCCCTCTGACTCTGCTGCCTGATCTGAGCAGCTCATCCTGGTGGGCCATCCCCAGCTGTAGGCTGTATATCTGGAGGACCACAAGTTGCCCATGCCTGCTTTGAAGCTTATGAAAAGCAACCACAGGAGCACAGCGGGGGTGTGGATTCAAAGCAGTATCATCATATTAACTGTGTCCAGGTTGCTTCTTTTCACTTTGCACAGGTTTCCAGTGAAAGTCCCCCTTCCCATTGAAGTTGCTGTTTGCCCAAAACCTAAAGCAGGTACAAAGAAAAAGAAACAGCTGCAGCACATTAAAGGATCACAATAGTTTAGTTTTCCTGTTAATATATTTATTAGCAAGTCGGGCTACTTTTCTTGAGCAGCATGGCTTCTGGCTGGATTGCACACCTGTCCCATAATGTGAATGAACACTCAACCAGCAAAGCAGTACTGCGGGATCCCTTTCACACCCAGGCCCGTTATCTGTTAAAGGAAGAAGACAGACTTTTAAAATCTCTTCTTCATTTACTTAGAGGAAATGCTGCAAGGGTAACTTAAGCCATTTCCCTGACTTTCACTCCAGCCACGCTTTCACATCCTTTCCTCAGACTGAGCAAGGCACATCTGCTTTGGCACATCCATATTTGCACCATGTTCAAATCTTGGGCTGCCTGCTGTTAATCAACAGCCTCTAGCAGGGAATGGTTCGAGCAGGAGGCTCCCGCAGGACAAGAAAATGCATTCATTTAAAGCATTTATGCATTCATTTAAAGCATTTATAGACTGTCCATCTACTGGCATCTCGGAATGGTTTACAACAAGCAACAGTTAAAATAGGAAATAAAAATCAAGGCTCCACCTAGGCTTTCTTGACTGTTTCATGAGGTTTGCCTAAGCCTCAGGCTGGGTGCAAGAGAGTGGCTGATCAAAGGCAGGGTTACATCCATCCACTGTCCATCATAGTGGCAGCAAGGGGCTGGAGGCTGATCTCAAGCACAGAGAGTGGTAGAGGTCCAGCAAATACTCTGGACAGGGGAAGGTGCTATACAGCAGAGGTGCTATCCCAACATGGCACCTGTGGGTCTCAGGGCACCCAAGGACACATCCAACGATGTCCACAAAGCTCTTCACTCCCGGCAACCATTCAAAGGATCAATAAAAGCACTGAAAAGTATTAGGGCACCCCGTTCTCCTTCTTGTTCATTGATGAGCAGAGCAGAGCAAAGCAAAGAGAAAAGCAAAGTAAAGCAGTAGAGAAAGAGTGAAGAAAAGTAGAAACAGTGAAGTAAAGAGGTCAGGAGGGGAGAAGACTGAGAGTGGAGGAAAAATAGCAAGATACAGGGGTGAAAACCAGCAAGGCTCCGGGCTAGAAAGGACGGAAAGGAAGAAGCTGAGGTTGGGGAAGGGAGAGAAACAGGAAGGATGTTGGGAGGGGGAAATAACATGGCTAGTGGAGACAGCAAAGGGGAAAGAGCTCTGTGAATGGAAGATTTGGCAAGTCAGGAAAAAACACTTGCTTCCCTCCCTCCTCTAGGCTCAGTATTTCTTTCCACTCCTCTCCTCCCCACCTCTTGACTAATCAGGACTTCACTGCTGTCATTGTGATTAGCCCTGGAGCCACACGGTGGCGCTCACACAGCAGACTTTAAATTCCCTGTGTGATCTTGGAGAACTTGGGAAACTGCTGTACCTTTTATTCTACACAATGAACAAAAAGAAAAAAAATACAAAGCTATTTCTTGAATAAACCCTTCACCTTCTTCAATTAATAAATCAATTAATTAATTAATATGTGCTTCCCAATAGCCAAAGCTCTCTGGTCCATTCACAGCAGCATATTTAAAAACAATATAAAATGTACCAATTAAAACATATTAAAATAGCATCATCAAAGTGAGCAATACAGATTGTAAAACCAAATAAAAACAGAAAATAACATATGTTAAAAAGACTGTGTTAAACTGGTTAGACAAAGAACCAGCAGGCTCCAGTCACTAATTAAATGCCCTGCATTTAAGGACAGTCTTTACCTGACACTGAAAAAGATAGTAAGGCTGGTGCCAGGCGGAGAGTGGAAAGCTTGTTCCATTGCTGGGGTGGGGAGACCACTCAAAAGGCTCTTCTTGTTGCCACCATCCAAGCCCCCCTCAAAGGTGGCACAGAGAAAGGCCTCGGAACTTGATCACAGTGTCCAGGTAGACAGAGGTCTGGAGAGCCGTTCATCAAGTGTTGTGGTTCCAGACCAGGTAGGGCTTTACGAGTCAAAACCAGCACTTTGAATTTGGCTCAGAACCATATAAGCAGCCAATGCAGGTCAGAATTGGTGTTATATGGTCAGAGGATCTGATCCCTGTTACTTATCTGGCTGCTGCATTTTGCACAAGCTGCAGCTTCCAAACAGTCTTCAAGAGCAGCCCCAAGTAGAGTGCATTGCAGTAGTCTAGCTTAGAGATTACCAGAGCATTGATCATTGATAACAAAGGCTAGCTCTGTCTGGATAGGGGTGAAGCTGAGCCACCAGCTAAAGCTGGTGGAAGACACTCCAAACCACTGAAGCCACCTGGACCTCCAGTGACAGATGGCTTAAGGAGCACTCCCAAGCTACAAACCTACTCCTGCAAGGGGAGTGCAGCCCCATCTAGAACAGGCTGGATCGCTTCCATCCATTCAGAAGAACCACCCACCAACAGCATCTCAGTCTTGCTACACTGAGCTTCAGTTTTTAGCCCTCATGCAGTCCATTGCTGCAGTCAGGTGCCAGTTCAGCACCAGTTCTTCTTTCTGAAGACTGCATTCCCTGTAGGGCCAGATGTAAGAGTGGATGGGAATGTGCTCACTCTCTTTCTCTCACGCTCTTTCTTTCTGAACCACCTCCTTCTCTTGCTGTCCTTCCCTTCCTCTTCATCCCTGTCCAGCTGAGATACCAAGGGACAGATAGATGGTTCTTGCCAAAGGTCTGAATTATTTTCAGCTAGCTTTAAAAATGGAGCACTGCCAAATCTTGATTACCTAAACAATTATTGATGCTACAATGCATTCACATCTCCTCTGGGCAAGGAGGCAAAGGTTTTAACATCTGCAATTCTGCAGTGCTTCAGTCCATTTCACAAACTCTCTTTACCTTGAAAACCTCTCCAGCCTGAGGCTCCTTGGCTAATGCCGCTCTGTCCAGTCCATCACAGGCAGACGTGACATACATTTCAGAATAGTCTTTTCCTCCAAAGCAGCAAGATGTGATCCTGGAAGCTGGCATCTTCACAGTCTGAATTCTTTTTCCTTATATGAAGAGATTCCCCACCAGAAGAAGTAGAAAGAAAATCAGGGAAGCAGAACACTTTTGATGTATGATTTTCATTTAGCTTAACATTAAAATGTCTGATTTTAAGAGTTATGATTTTAATGTTGTTCATGATTTACATTATTATTATTATATGGTTTGTCAGCTGCCCTGAGCTCTTTGTGATCCACCCATCACTTCCTTAAAATCTCTTTCCCATCCCCATTTTTTTAAAGAAAAAATTCCCAGTCACATGAATGGGAACTTATTTTACAAGCCCTTTTATTGCATGGGACAAGCTGAGGAGGATATTGGCAGACATGTTGCCCATCATGGTCTTCGATCATCTTATGACAAAGAGAATGAAAGCTCTTGTAACTGAGATTGAGTTTCAAACCCTTTTCTAATTTCTAACAAGTGATGTAATACTTCTCGTTATTTTAATCTTAATTATCTTGACATCAATTCAGACAAAGTTTTAGCTAATAAGGAATACATACACTGGAGGGGATTGGTGAATTGGGACTTTTGACAGCCAACTCCTGATCCTCTTAGTGACAAAGGCTAATTGGTTTGTGCTCCCTAGCTGAACCATCCAGAGACATTTGCTGCTGATGGACAGGTTATAAAATTTATAAATAAATAAATAAATAAATAAATAAATAAATAAATAAATAAATAAGTGATGTAAAAGATGGTCCTGCTTCTGTGATATAATCCAAGTTTAACCAGTAAACCTGCTGTTTTACTATTCCAAGCAGGGTATATTCTTTTCTTTAAAATACTGGAAACTGTTCTAATTCCAGACTAAACCTTTTGCTCTGTCCTTGAGCATCCACTTCATTCAATTTGCAATTGCGTGGTTTTGTTTTGAGGGATAAGTAACAGATTGGGAGTGGGGGTAGGAATCCCATTTGGAATCATGGTGAGGAGTGATTTAGCACTTTGCTTTTGGCAGGCCACAACTGCTATGGCAGGAAGAAGTCTCCCATTGATGCAGGATTTTTTCAGTGGATCAGACTATTAAGTAGGCATACCTTAACTGGGTACATGCTATCCAACTAGCCCAAATAGCACCCATTTAGCTGCACTGGAATGACTCTGTGATAGCCACCTCTTGTCTTTGACAAAACAGAATTCATGGTGACTCCATAAGTTATGATTCAGCCCGAGAATGTAGCATAAATACTGAAGCATTACATACAAGGGCCACAAACCCTCATGTATGTAAAAAGGGGGGCTACATATGTGAAAGTGCCAGGAATTGGGCCTTTTATGGGGTTCACTGCTCTGATTTTTTTCTAAAATGGGTGGGAGGAAGGTAGATCACTAAATGTTTGGGATCTAGACTCCCAGATGTTCCTCCCAGCACAGCCAATGGTCAGGAATACTGCAAGTTGAAGTCTAGAACATTTGAGGTGCTTCTTTATCATCATTAATGCCAAATATTTTCAGACAGTTCATAATGCCTGAAAGACATATTGTTTTCTATATACTGCCCCATCCCCATAGGCTCTGGTGAATTCACAAGAGATTAATCTGTTGGAAGTTATTCATTCTTGAAAGTAGAAGTCTTGGCTATCTGACACATCTCTCCCAGCAGGTCATTCCATAGTTTAGGGATAACCGCTGAGAATGTCCTCTGGAGAGCTGACATTAATCTTCAGAAGATCATCCTCAGCAGACCTTAGCAGGCAAGAAAATGACACATGCAAAGGACTCCTAAAGGCATTTTGCACCTGAGTCATGAAAGATTTTAAAGGTACTATCTTGTACTTCTGGGCCTTGTATTGCCCTCAGAAATACACTGACAGCCAGAGCAGAGATTTTAGTATCACTGATATATGGTCTCTCCATGATATCCCAGACACCAACCTGCCTGCAGATCGCAGTTTTCAGAGGAGGCACAATATAGGGTGCCTATAGGGTTTCCTATAGAGAGCAGATTGCAGACATCAGACCTAGAGGTTGTCAGTCCATGCACTACTGTTTTCAGGTAATTCTCCTCCAAGAAGAAATGTAGTTGGCAAATCAGCAGAAGCCGACAGCAAACATTCTCAACCATGACTTCTGGCTGTGCTGACATCAGAAGGGCCAGATCAAGCTGCATCCCCACATCTCAAGCACAGACAGAACTGGTTGACACACTCCTAATCCTGGACGTGAACCCAGCAAGCACCTCCATTTTGTCTGCATTCAGCTTCAATTTGTTTTTGCTCACCTGGCCAATTATCAGCTTCAGGCAATCATTCAGAGCGGAGAGGCTGTCTCTAGAAGCAGCAGCAGGTGGTGGTGGTGGTAAATTGAGCAGCATATTGATAACACCCAGAGCAACTCCTCCAGATGATCTTTCCCAGCAGCTTCATGTAGATGTTAAACAGCAGTGGAGACAAAATTGAGCCCTGTGGGCCTCCACAAGTCAGCTCCTTCTTGGTGGAGCAACTTTCTCCATCATCATCATCTGGAACCAACCTGAGAGGTAAGAATGGAACCACTGCAAGCCAGTGTCCCCAATTCCCAAGTCTCTCAGGCGATCCAGAAGGATACTATGGTCAATAGTATCAAAAGCTGCTGAGAGATCCAATAGAACCCACAAGGACATGTTCTCACTGTCAATTCCGACTCATGTATCATCCACTAGATCCACAAGCAGTCTCAGCTCCTTGTCCTGCCCTGAAGCCAGTTTGAAATGGGTCCAGAAAGTCAGTATCCCTTGGGATCATGTGGAGTTGGAGAGCCACCACTTAAAAAATCACTGACGAGGCCACTGATTGACATCAGCTGAATAGAATGCCTGAGTTTATAAGCTGAGCTCACTCCACTTTCTAAAACTGGCTCAGCAGGATCCTCATTAACCTTTTACCTGTTTCAGGGTCAATACGAATCACACGCCCACCATCCATACAGGCCACCCAGAGTTTTCCTTCGGCATCAACACACATCCCATCAGGCATTTCTTCTTCTTTTTCCAGCTTGTACACAGACCTGCAGCTGCCACAATCTGCGCAGAGAGTAATGCAACCAGTGTGGATGATCACTGTAGGAGCTGCCTCCGACAATGCTATGTTTTCTGCCTTGATCAGTTTACAATGTTTAAAAGCTTCTTTGTAGACAGTGCTTAAATTGGGCTTCATCAGAAAACAAGATAAAGCTAAATTCATCCCTTATTCTCAGCCTCAGCATAAAGTGTTTATCTCTTACTTTGCTTCAGTTTAAAGTGTAAATGCAGTCAGTAAAGGAAGACTGTTGTTCATCTCCATTAGCATACAAGCAATAAGGAAGGCTCCATGGATTTGAATAAGATGTTGGTCTATTTTTCCAGCTTGGCCAGTGTATAGTTCTTAAAAGTAGAATTGCCACTTTATTCTGGCAGGGCTCTTTCATGACAAGCAAAAAATCCAGAGATGGGCATTTCCCATCAATGCATTTCTATGCTGTAGAAAAACCACACCAGTGGCAGCTATGCCTGCCTTGCAGCCCTTAAAACACAAGACCACTTCTGGACAAGCCCCATAGGAGCATTTTCTCATAAGTTTTCACTGGTTTGAACTGTATATTTTATGCAAAGATTGGGGAGGGTAGGATTGTCAAATATTTTGCAGGTAAGATGTAAAGTCTTGCCTTGAGAGTTCCCTCTAGTGCACAACTAGAGGTAAAATATTTGGTAATACCTCACCTACTCAAGAAAAGCTGATTCTTGCCACAGATTTTTGGCCTGATTGTGTGTGTGTGTGTGTGGTGGGGGGGAGGGGGGAGAGAGAGAGTTCTGTATTAATAATGATAGAAAAGCCCAATGTACCATATATGTCCACATGACATGGTGTAGAAAGAAAAATGCTCTGTAGATTGGCCTATTAATCATCTACAGAGATTTATTTATATGTTATAAAATCATTTGGAAAAAAAGAGTATGTACCAATTTTGCCCATGGACACATCGTAGTTGAAAGCATACACTGCAAATGCTAGACTATCGATGTAGAAGAAGGTTCTGTGATCCAGCGACCAATCCAGGCCATTCGAGATGTCCACCTGTTCTAATTGCTTAATGACACAACGATCAGGAAAGAGAGTGTACAGAGCACCTTGGTGCCTTGCCCTCACTCCGGGCGCTGTCTCCTCAGCCATGGTACCTAGAGGATGGGCAGCAGAGACACAAATAAGATAATCTGGCACTGCAGGGCCTCTCAGCAAAGTTGGTGTGATGGATCAAATGGAAAGTGCCCATCAGACATTTCAGCTTACAGCTTACAGCTTCCATCACTCCTAGCCTTCATGGCCAAGGGCCAGGAACTCTGGAGTTGGAGTCCAAAAAAACCTGAAAAGCTCCAGCTTGCCATCTTCTACTTGGCTTTCATGCCACTGAAGAATTTTATTTAAAGCCTCAACAAATATTTTATGTCATGTCTACAAGAGTGCTCCTATCTATGAATTTGCTAACTTATTATTATTATTATTATTATTATTATTATTATTATTATTATTATTATTAATATGAAAACTCTAACCCAGTTATCCTTAACATGCTCATATCCAAAGTGTTGGTCTGCTGAAGCAAAGCTGGAGGGGACCAGGTTAAGAAATATCTTCCTAAAGAATTGCCTTTTTATATGTAGCAGCTGTCTGACATTTACTTTAAATGTTACATTCTGCTCAAAAAATAAAATTAAAGATGCTTTCTGGAGATTTAGATGGAACAGGAGTTGAACTCCTCATTCTGCTCATTGCACTGGCCATTTCGTTTTAATTAATGTCCTCTCCAATACTTTAATGAAATTAAAAGGCTAATTACAGTGATTTAGTTCATGTAAACTACTTCGCAATCTTTAAAAAAAAATCTGGGGAATGTTTTGCGGCCTGAGCAACTGTTACTTTTAAACATTTCCTTTGTTACTTTTTAATCAGAATACCTTTTCATTCTCATTAGCAGTAAAAACAAATGTTAGCTGCCTATTCCAGTCACTTTTTGTACATTGCAGAATTGAGGTACTTGCACAATGCCCCTTCTGTACTCTGATTCTCCCGGCCCCTCAATGTGGCATCAGGCTAGTAATTTGAGTTTGTTCTTTCTCTGCTCATGACACTCACAACCCTAAAAAAGTTCTTGAGGACCCTGTTCTGCCATTCATTAGCAAGAGCTCTGACCAATCATTGCGTTCCTCGTGCAAGTGGGAGGAGCTACACTTACCAGGAACCTACCAGGCAGAAAAGCTTGATGTTACATCCAAGCCACAGCCTTGCTTGTCATTCCTCTAAGTCTAAGTCAACTGCAAGGCTGAGGTTTGGACCCAAGGAGCCAAGTGAGAGAAAGACAGTTTGCATCAAAGCTTCTGCTCACTACTGCCAACCCAGCCCTGTAAGGAGTTGTTCATATTCTGTGCAAATTTAACTACTGCCTCCTAATAGACTGAAGTGATCTGGAATCAACTTTGCAGTTAGTGATCCAAAATTCAAGGTGGCCCAGCACAACAGTTAACAGTAACCCTATATAAGTGCAGTATTTCAAAATCCACAGTAGGTTTTATTTGGGACCGGCTTGTCACAAAATAGCAAAAAAAAGCCTTTGCATTCTCCAGAATTCTTCAGGCTGAATGCTATTTTTGTTTGTTAATCAGGATTCTATTAGATTCAAACTTCTTTTAATCCCCTTTTCTTTGGTTTGCTTGGTTCAGTTAGACGGTTGTGTGTGGTCAATAATAAATTGGAAGCACATTTACACACTGTATTATCCTGATTATTACACTATGTATTGTATTTTAATAATTAGAGCACAATAAGTCTGGTGGGCCTTTCATACCAATTACATACTTACATTTGTTTCTTTCTACATTAAAAGAAAAGAAATGGCTATTATTGTTGACTTAAACACATTAGTATAGATACATCTATACTCAGGAATAGGCAACTGAGCCCTCCAAATGTTTTGAGATACACTTCCTATGAACTCCAGCCAGCATGGCCAGGGGTCAAGAATCATGGGCACCACAGTGCAAAATGGTTGGTGGCAATCCCAATAGCCCACTCCAGCATTCTGTAGATATATCCATCTGTTGGAAACTCGGCAGGTTGGATCTGAATCCAACTCATTAAGAAAAGCCAAACTAAACACACCATAGACTTGTATGCATATCAGATATATCTGTACCTGCAAAAAATCTCCCCATTGGGTCCACTTTTCCATCATTAAATCTGTTGTGTGGTTTATCTAATTCCAGTTCTGTGATGGAATCAACTGTCTGATCTTCCCAGTTCAGGAAAGCAAACCTGGTTCCTACAGCGATCACATAACTGCCATGCTTACGAAGGGCCACTGAGCCAACACGAGCATCTGCAGAAAGGAAAGAAGTTGAAAAGCTTTGAAGCTAGAACCAACGGCAGTGTTCGCTCTTGATGTAGGAGTGGTCCAATCTAGAAATAGATGGTGCTTCTCAGAGTCCAATACAGTCTTTCTCAACTGGAGCCCTCCAGATGAGTTTTGAATACACTTTCAAGCATCCCCCAGGTATCTCAGAATCACTAAACTAATGGAAAACATTAAAACACTGAAACAGGCTAAACATTATAAACAATTGACTGGGTCCACAGAGGTGCAAAGAGAAATCCACATGGCTCAGAAACACCACCAGAAGGGAGCAGGAGGTTGGCAACAGTATTTGATAGATGAGGTAGCCCTGTAGAAAGAGAAGTGGATTTCTATTTATGGAAGACACCTTTGTGTTCAAGTCAGTAAAAGCAGTAACAGTCAAAACTACCACAGTTTAAGAATGAAAGGACGGGGAAGATAATCATCTTTCTTCCTGATATCCAAAACAAAATGTAAATTCAAAGCAAGCCTACCTGAGAAGAAAGAATTCCATAGACAGGGTACCACAGCCAAGAATTCCTTATGTCCAGTCCCATCCACTTCATGTCAGAAAGTGGAGGCACCATGATAAGGACTTCCCATGATGTCCTTCATCATGATCAGAGCTGGTCCAACCATTGGGCAGATTGAGTCAGCCACTCCATACAGCTGTTTTGGGGGTGGCATGAATTGACAGCAAATAGTTATTCAATTTATTATTATAGTATTTTTACTAACATGGAAGGGAATTCACTTTCTTATGTGACAAAATGCTTTGCACCCTGGGTAAGGTGCATCTTGCACAGGTCAAGAGTGGGAAATGACCTTTACTGCATTGCCTCAGGCAACAAAATGTCTTGGACTAGCATTGAACTCAATGCACAGACAAGATGGTTTGTATTATGCTAAGCATAGGAACATGAGCAGCATAATACAGGGAGCTTAAGTAGGTGGATACTATGGCACACATACCCAGTTTATGGACTTCAGCTAGGCAGCTGGTTGAGCGCTCTGAGAACAAAATGGTGGACTTCACAGGCCTTCCATCTGATCCAGCAAGGCTGTTATTATATTAAGTTCCTATCGCAAAGGAACAAAGGACAAACTGTCCCACTGTAATTGTAAGCGAATCTTCTCATGAGATATCATGACTGCATATATGAATCATCTCTAAGAAAGACCATGTGAATAATCCTTCCGTAATCCCAAATAAGATCATGTTGCATTAACATTCTCTAAAAGACTGAAACTATTCTACAAAATAGTCTGTAGTAGAAGGTTACCATTTCAGAAAAATTGTCTTTCTTACCCACTGGCACACACTGAACTTCATTGGTGATGGAGTTCCAGCGGCAAACTTTTTGTGAGTTGATATCCACATATACAAGGGAATTCTGCCTTTCTTCCCATACGGGGCATTCTCCCATCCTGTTCTTGTCCTTCACAACAGATTCAATTTTAATGGAAGACATCGTCTACAAGGAGAACAATCGGCATAATAGCAAATTTAATTTCAGCAGAAAGTATTAATTAAATGGGATCTAAGAAATGGATTGCAAAGGGGCTGAATATAGCAAAAGACAGCTTAAGATGTCAGTACTTTGTCTATGTTGGTGTTGTTTTGAGGATGGTCTTCATCAGCAATGCTAAACCAACATGTTTCTATTATTTATGAAACAGATGTTAAAATGAATGAAGACAATGCCCAAATTATCTTTCTTAATATAGAAATGTAACTTTCCATTTAAGCAGCTAGTAGCCAATAGTTATAAATGGTAAAAGCATTGCCTTGGATCCATAGGTAAATTAGTGGAGAGAAAGTTTCTCAGCCTTCCTGCAAACACCTATGCCCCCATCACCCACCTCTCTGGCTCACTTATAGTTGCAGTAAAAGAAGATTGAAGATGGCAATGATTTGCATTATATTTGTATATCCTAATTTAAATATGAAATATAAATTTAGAACCAGATATTTAATTATTATTACAAATGATTTATAGCAGAAGACTGTGATTAGGGAACCTAATGCCTGTCTCTTCGGTCTGGTATCTGGGTGCTGTAAATGGACAACCATTCCTAATTTGTCAATCTTTAAACCAGTTTGGGACAGAAAAGCCCTTCAAATAATATTCAGTCATCTGGCAGCCCTTCCGATAGAGGACTGTCCTCCATGAGGACGCCTGGCTACCCTACAAGGACAGGACTGGACAATGTGGGATGGTACCACACCTTATTCTGAAGTATTCCCTGACAGACTGGAGAAGTGTTTCAGGGGATGGAGAATGCTTTATTCTGGAAAAAAAAAGTTACTTAATGCTCTTTAAATGCAGGATGTGCAGAGATGGACTCAGTTTTCGTGGTGGGCCTGCTATGGAAACAGTTTTGGTCCAGTTGCTTTCCTTTACTTTCATTGTGGCTCTACATAGTCCTGATTGGCTGGCAGAACTGTCAGTTGCAAACCAACCCCAAATCCTCTCCTTTTCAGAACTATGGTTAAAGTATAAGAGTGCCAAAACTTCAATTTAAACACAAAATTAAAAGCACAAAACAAATTTTGATGAATTACCATGCAAATGCTTGAAAGGGAAGGAAAGTAAACAGCTGTTCTGAAGCATGCGAGGCAGAAGAGGCAAAGTGCATGTAACTTGGTGACAGGACATCTGGCATTGGAGGAGCAAATTCAGCAAGAGAGAAAGGTGCCCATCCAACACCAAGAATTCCTGCTCCTGCCTGAAAGCTTTACTGGATCTTCTTTCTTTGCACCATTAGTATTCATTAATGTACATCATTAGCATGCAGACAGCTGTGCAGGCAATCACTGTTCCCAAATCTGCAAATAAACTCGGCAAAGAGAATATTAAAATATTCTTAGGAAATCTCCTGGTATAATTTCAGGCAACTGGAAAGCCAGGAGAAACTCAATAGCATTGAGCAATGAAAGACACCTGTAAACAACACCTGGCAGTATATACGTCTTGCTCAATTCCTGCTTAAAGAAGCATGTGAAGCTGACTCACATCACATTTTGTCATCAGAACTCTTGGAATATAATACATACAATGGCAAACCCACTCCAATTGATTTCGTATTAAGAGGTTATTTAAAAAGCTGCAAGACTTGATTTTATCTGCCCCTGGAAAGCTGTTGATTGCATTTTAAATCCTGTCAGCAGAAACCTGAACCAAAGGACATAACTTAATTCTAGGCTGTTCATAATAGCATGTTCTGCAATACCAGCTGTGGGAGGTAGCAGCCCCTTCTTGATTAACATTTCACTCAAGGGAAGCATTAATTGATGGCCATGAGGAAAGAAACAGAGACACCTTCCTGATGTTTCATTAGTTATTCAGACCAAATCATCAGCTGATGCTAAAGAATTATCCCAGCAATATGGACCACTCTGGAAGAAGCTCTTCAGTCTGTCAGAAAGAACTGGATATCTCAAAGGATAAACAATCAGCATGGATGCATCAATTTAAGTGTCCGTGTGCAATAAGAGAAAAGGCTAGCTTGACTTTCACTCACTTCTCTCTCCTTGGTTCAGTGAACCAAGGCTGAGCAACTAATAGTTTCCAGATGTTTGGGTCTACAACTCCCATCCGTTCTAATCAACATAGCCATTGATAACATAGCTTCATGGGTGCTATAGATCAAAACATCTGGAGCACTAAAGATTGTACACCATACAACACACCTGGAATTCCACTTATCCAAAAGATGAGGGAAGACAACAGGGCTGGGGATTATAAGTATACAGATGCTGTGCAGTTCCAGGCCATCCTATTCTATTCTTATTCTGAGGTCATCTCAAAATTTATTGAAACTTTTCTGAATTTTTAATAATCAGACAAAACTGCACCTTTTTTATGATTAAATTCTTATTTAGAAACTGTTGATTTAATTGTATTGCAGAGGTATTTGTCCTGATATTCAGCCATCCAGTACAACCACAATTGCCATTGCCATTTAATTGCCTGAAACTTTACTTCTGTTGGTGCTGCAGAATTGAATCCTCTGGTTCTAAGTGGCACAATAATGAACTAGGACAGTCATGTTCTGCAGGTAGTTCATACACAGACAAGGGCAAACACCTTTATAAGGCTGTAGATACATGACATTCACATGTATTTATGCTGCAATCTCATACCCAGGGTGGACAACAAAGATTATGGTCTGCATACAAGCCCCTCTGCCAACCACTGCATCCCCAAATTTAGTGGGGGGAAAGAGTCAAAATGGTTCTCCACGGTGGCTTCAGGGTGCTAAAAGACTCAAATTTAGCCAGCAAACAAGCTACATTTAATTTATGTAGTGTTACTGAGACTTCTAAAGAATCAGTGGGCAAAGAAACTACAGTGGCTTCTTTTCTTTTCCCCATGTCTGTATGGGGTAGGCACACACCGTACAATTTGTCTATTACCCATGTGATAGGTGGGTTCTGGTAACATCCAAACCCAATGAGCTACACAGCCTCTGAGTCCATGGATTGTTATAGAGTTCTAGGGTTGCAACTGCCACCCCAACAGGTACAGGTGAAAAGAGAAGCAACATGATGCGCAGGTGTGAATCCTCTGTGGCTTTTTTGGTTATCCAAATCCAACCATAAAATGTTTTGCTACTGAAATTCAGCTTCAAACCAGCATGGATTGCATGATTCCCAGTGTATCCAGCAGCATCTACCCCGATATACACACTTGCAACAGAAACACCGCCCTTTGAGGAGAGACTGAGAGAACTAGACATGTTCAGCCTTAAGAGAAGACTGAGGGGAAACATCATATCCCTCCATAAGTTCCTGAGAAGAAGATCAAGATCTCTTCTCACTGATACCAGAGTGCAGGACATGGAATAATCAATTCAAGATGCGACCACCCCGATTCAGGCTGGACATCAGGAAAAGCTCCCTCACAGTCAGAGCAATGCAACAGTGGAACCAGCTGCCTAGAGAGGTGGTGGGCTCTCCCACACTGGAGACATTCAAAAAGAAACTGGACAGCCATCTGAGTGGGATGGTGTAACATGGTGTCCTGCAACAGCAGGGGGCTGGACCCAATGGCCTTCATGGCCCCTTCCAACTCTACTATTATATGATCTTATAATTCTATGAAAGTAAATCTTATTGAATTCAAAGGGGTGTTTTTCTGAATAGACACAGGTACAACTGCTGTGTAATTCATTTATCTAGTAGATTTCTAAGCTGCCTCAGTGACTCAAGTTCTCTGGATATTTCTTTTCTAAAAATATTTTAAATAAAAACAAATAAATTTTAATATACAATTAAAATAATTCTTATAATACAATACTCCCCACCTTCAGGACCAATGATACATGTTACAATCAGGGGGAAAAAACCCTCATTCAAGCATTTCAGGACATTCTACCCTTCCAAAACTGTACTGATTCTTTCAAAGGCTCACATTCTTCCCCTCTTTTTAAAAATATACTCAATGAATACACATCAAATATCATTAAACATTTTCCTTAATATGTCCTTGGGTGTTTCACAAAATATGAAATAATAGACTTGATGAAAGAAAATATAAAACCTTTATAATTTACAACAGAATTAAAGCAAAATAAACACCAGAGTAAACAGCAGCAACAGGGTAAAGATCTTAAAGCATCTTTAAAAGCAACAAAAAAGGACAAAGAAGCCTGGAAAAATACAGTCTTCATCTGGCACTGAAAAGACCACAAGCTAAGCACCAGGTGAGTTCACTAAATAGCTGCTTCAAATGATATTTTCTTCCTAATTTCTTCCAGACTAATCCTATCATTTGTACCTTCACTTCTGTGTGGTTATTCAAAGATTTTCAACAGCATATTCTTCAAAATGGACCATTCTGGTATTTCATTTCATTACCTTTATAGTAAAAGCCACCTTTAAAAGTTTCACTGATGCAATGATGACCTCTTAGAATATTCCCTGTCTGAATTAACCTTTTAACCCCAAAAGCTTTCAACAGAATGACTTTTTTCCAGAGAGACACCTTGAATCATTCTCTGAGATTGGTTATTAACTAATACATTCCTTGACTCTAACTTTCCAGCCCAAGGGTGGAAGAGAATATTTGTCAGCTCTAGCAGCTGCTCTGGCTGCAATAATGCTTCCTGTTGTTGAATTCTTGCCCAATCTTATTAACCACAGGAGTACACCAGAATTAATGAAGCCCAAAAATCTTGCCTTTAGAAAGTCTTGGGTCTGACGACAGTCATTCTTTCAGGCAAGCACAGGCAGAACTATGAATTTGAGGAGGAGAAAAACAGCTGCTTCAGCAAGTTGAAATTTCCAGCACATGTCATAAGTTATTAAGGTGACTATAGAGGTCACTCTGAACAAGTTCTGGGCACCAAAATGAATTAGTAGGAATTAGATTGTTAAAACGTTAAATTATTTCCTTTCATTACTACAGAACCCATCCTGGCAGAAGTTTCTGCATGGGGTTTAGAAGCGGTAGTGCAAAGGTCCCCA